CACACACAGACATATACATACACACGCGCGCACACCCCCCTACCCAAATACACACACTCATAAATGCACGAGCACGAGTTCAAAAATACAAAGTAAAACTCATACGTTTTGTTTTTTAAATAACTTTTGTTTTTATTGACCATTGTTCTGTTTAGTAAAAGCCAGGATTTGTATCAAAATTGCATCTTTCGCCTGAAATTCAGTATTTTAATTATCGAAATTTTCAATGAAAGACACCTCGCATAGCATGGGCCGATAACTCATTCAGTTTCACATTTAAATCTAGGGGCCCTAGCTTGAGGCAGAAACTTTAATAAAGCTCATTTTTGGTGACCTTGTAAAACTCTTGCTATGTAGAATATATGTTTGCTCTTGGGCGACAATTAGTCACAAAAATGGAGATATTGGCAAAAAATCGACACACGGGTCAAATTTGAAGATTTTCTTTTAATGCCATCTTCTTAAAACTACATAGCCTGTCTATTATCATGTCTTACTTATAAATTGATAAAAATCAACCAATAAGCGTGACGGATCTATTTGTCGGGCAGCGCGGTGGAATCAGGTTCTCGTCAATTTTGGGGCATGTAGAGTTATTGGTATCATCTTAAAGCTTGTTCACTTGTCTTTATTTGGATGAAGAAAATAGCCATTTATCTTGAATACAAGTCGAGATATTGGCGAATGAATGAGGTGGGGGTCACCCGTTTTTAGAAGGTAAAATTAGTGAGAAAATGGCCGCCAAAGATTATTTATTTGCTTATGAGTCCGTAGTAACTGAAAAAGTACATTTTTTGTGCCTTTAATCAACGTTTTTCAGAAAAATCCGCACAGAAATGAGTTCTTTAATGGACATGAAAGGTGTTGAGCCAAAAAATAAAAATTGGATAAAAATTTACAAACCTGCGGAAAAATGCAAGTTTCTACACTTTGATTATTTTGACGAGAGCCTGATTCCACCAGGCTGCCTCCCATTTTCTTAAAGCTTGAATCCCAGAAGTAACTCATTTTGTCAGCACGCTTCACAATTGTGAAACTCCCTGCCAGGTGGGGTGGAACGTGAGCTATGACTTCAACGAGAGCGACTTCAACGTGTGCATGGTCATCCTGAAGACCTACCTGACTCGTATGATGGAGCAGGGGGACCCGCGGATACCTTGGAACACCCTCAAGTACCTCATCGGGGAGGTCAGTCGGTGCAGCGGGGCACAGGGGAAGCTTCAGTTTTGTTGTTGTTCGGTACCTTGTTTCTTTGGGGTTCTCTCTTTATTTCGTTTTTTTTTTTTTTTTTTTTTTGTTTTTTGTTTGGTTTTTTTTGTTTTTTATTGGGGGGGTGGAGCTGTTATAATTATTTCGTTTTTTGTAAGCTTAAAAACGACACGAGACCATTGTGGAAGAGGTTCTTGAATGAAAGATGCTGGGCAGGAGAGCCAGAGGAAGACAAAGAGTAGCATGGATGGACAACATAAGAACACGGACTGGTCTGGATGATATGACAGAATGTGCTACTGCAGCTCGCTTCCGTGAAGGATGGAGGGCCATTACACGTCGACCTCTGAAATCGAGTAAAAATGACTTCGTCGCTTCTGGAGAGGTCCGAAGGTTTTCGTGAGCCCAGTCTGGGTTTGATGTTGTAGAGTTTGTCGTTGGTTTGATTCCTCCAATGGGTCTCCCACCGACTGGAGGTGTAGTTTTTTACTTTATTTTTAAAGCCAGTCTGTGGGAGAGTGTTCTCTTACTAGCAAAAGACAAAAACATCATCATTGCCTTTCTCACCCTGCACCAGGGTCGTGCAGGCCACTTTCCACCTTTCTCTATCCTGGGCGAGCCTCTTGATGTTATTCCATGTCTTCCCACTTTTCTGTACATCGATTTCTGTTATTCTTCTCCGGGTTCCGAGATAAAACATGATGTGTGGTCATTGGTGTTTACGCCGCAATATTTCTAAAAGATCATTCATTGCTTGAATATCATAATGTTATAATAATGTACCTCAATTCGTTCTAAATCCTACTTTTGTCGTTCTTACTTCCTGTTCTTGCTCGTTTTCAATTCTTTTCATAGGATAGAACTCTTGAAAAAAAATCTTCCGACCTGTTTAATTCTCTTATCTCCCTTTGAAACTGTTTTTCAGTCATTTTTAGCAGACAACATAAATGTTAGCGCTCAAATTCTGTCACTGTCTAGATCTAGCTAATGATTATCAACATATTGTAGTATGTGATGTTGAGCAAATAACACCACACAATTTTGGCTGTGAAAAATGTCCGTACACGAATGAATTTGGCACCGTATTAAACGCCATAGGTCAGTTTAAAAGTAATTGCTCATTTATTAGATTAAACTCACCCTTTCCCGCTCAAATTTAGGGGTATTTTCAGAAAATCACCCTGATCAAAGTTATGAACTGAAAACCATCTTTTTCCCACTTGATGAACACAAGTGGATTCTCTTTAGGAAAATATAATTGGATCTGGAATACGTTGTGTTTGTGAATTGTGGTGATTTTTAAGAATTGATCCATACTTTTGCAATACATGGTAGGTACTGCCGTGTAACTGTTTAGATCTACACAAAGCACGCAGAAAAGTTCGTCAAAATCAAACCTTTCCCACGAGAGACTTCCAACTTGCCTTTAAGTTCAAGGAAAATGACTGTAGATGAGTCCCACCCTTCACTATTGCCGCTGTTGCTTCCCTTTGGTCAGAAAAAAAAATATATATATATAAATATATTATTATATATATATATAATACTAGCTAGGCCCCCTTTCGATGAAAGGGATGATCGGTGCTTTAATATCAGCTGAAAGTCATTGGCCTACTATATTTACACTCTACTGGAATGGAGAAATAAATATTGAGAGATGAAAAAAATTAGGTCTAGATCTATACTCTCAAAATAAAATGCGCCTCTCGAAATATCGCTTCCGGATTTTCTAAAATTACAGAGACAAAAGCGATCGGCGAAATAAAGAAATTTAGCTTTTTGCAGCAAAACTGTCTCAAAACTGAAAAAACCAAGGGCGCCATGATCTGGAGAATATTTTACAGAATATTTTGGCGAGAACCGCATGTCGATCGATGCAGCCATTAAAAAGCATTTTGAATAGCAAAATTCGGCCACCACAAATAGATAATAGATGTTCATATGATAGATGTAATGGGCAGAGAACATGATGCAACGCGTGGATATGCGCTTTATATTAATGCGCTGGTGCAGCAGCAGCAGTAGTAGCAGCAGTAGTTGCAGTAGTAGCAACAGCAGCAGCAGCAGCAATAGTAGTAGCGGCAGCATCGGCAGCAGCAATAGTAGTAGCGGCAGCAACGGGCAGCAGCAGTAGTTGCAGTGTAGCAATAGCAGCAGTAATAGTAGCTGCAGTATCAGAAGTAGCAGTAGTAGCAGCATCAGCAGCAGCAGCATCATCATCATCATCAGCAGCAGCAGCAGCAGCAACAGCAGTAGCTTCAGCAGCAGTAGCAGAAGTATGGGTTTGAACATGTCCAGGTGATGTACGGCGGGCGGGCCATCGACGACTTTGACCGCCGTATCCTGCGCACGTACATGGACGAGTACATGGGAGACTTCATCTTCGACGCCTTCCAGCCCTTCCACTTCTACCACGACGACACCGTGGACTACCGCATCCCCCAGCCCGAGGAGCCGCAGGTCAAGGACGAGTATATCGGTAAAGTGGTTTCGACAGTTGTCATTTTTGTTTGTAGTTGTTTTAGTAAGGATTTACGGCGTTCGCAACTGCATAAAGTCATATGAGCGCACATGACGCATTAAACATTATCAGTTGGTAGGAACTTTTGAATTTTGCCCCGCGTAACGGCTGAAGCCTACTCTTATCGATTTGGGGCTGCTAAGGGATTTTTAACGTATGCAACTTGCACACGGGACCTCCGAGAGTTTTTGCCCTTATCCGAGAAGGCTAGGTGTAGATCTTTCCTACCCGTAGATCAGGGGTGTGGCTGACAGACAGCAGTAAAAAAGACCCGAAAAAGTAGCAGTAGAAAGGCTGCAGAAAGAGTCAGGAGCCCAAAGGGGGCAGAAAGAGGAGACGAAAGCAGACGACAGAACATTGTTAGAGAGCAGGAAAGGATGTGAAAGGAAGAAAATTTTCCGTCGCTATCCGGATTCGAACCCGGGACCTATTGAAGGAGAGGCAAGCACCTTAACCTCTAGGCCACGAGAGCCCCCTGTCTTCCAGGGTTTTCGAATAACCAGACTACAAATCCCCAAAGAGTTAATCTGAAACCAAAATACTGTAGTATAAGTCTTAAGTTATCGTTATGTTCCTTTTTTTCTTACAACGTTAGGCTCAGATTAGAGATATGATATTTACTTATTAAATATATGTTTTGTACATTTAAACTGTACAGATATCAAAACTTTTTTTGACGTCATTGATCCGAAAAGGATCCTCATTTTCATTTTTTTTAAAGAAGTAGGTTTATTCTGGAAAAAAAAAAGAAATGTCCGACTTTCTAGATATTTATAATAAATTATAGTAACTGAGTAATTGGGTATCACCATACTTACTGAAAATTGTGTAAATTATGTTCATTCGTCCTTTTAATCAACAGCTGGACAGACCAGTCAGTAATGGTACATCATGTTATGGGGGGGGGG